AGCGTGGGGGCGGGGCTTCCGTGACGGACGGAAGGCTGGACCAATGGTCCACGGAGGGTGGGCGGCGGGTGGCCAATGGCGCCGGCGCGGCCGGGGGCGGGGCGGCGGAGCTGCGCGGCGCTGTGCGGGAAGCGGCGGGAGGCGGGCGGCGGCAGCAAAGCTGAGGTGAGGCGGAACGGCCGAGCGGTCGGGGCCTTCGCGGCGGGCCCTGAGCCGCTCACCCGCCTCCGCCCGCAGGTCCCGTGGCGGCGCCCGTGGGCCGCGGCGGGGTGGGAGGATGGGAACTCAGGGCAGCCCGGTGAAGAGCTACGACTATCTGCTCAAGTTCCTGCTGGTGGGCGACAGCGACGTGGGCAAGGGCGAGATCCTGGAGAGCCTGCAGGACGGCGCGGCCGAGTCCCCGTACGCCTACAGCAACGGTAGGGCGGCGGCCGGGTGGGAGGAGGGCGCGCCGCGAGCCGGCCGAGGCCCGGACCAGGCCTCCCGGGGCCGGCGAGGCCTGGTCGGGCGCGGTAGCCTCCGCGCTGGAGGCGGTCCCGCCGCGCAGCCCGCGAGGGGTTAGCTTCGGCGGCCTGCCGCTCGCGCGGAGGAAACACCTCGGCAGCAATGTTATTAAACATCTTCTTTAACTTCCGGGTGCATGGCTTGCGTACATAAGGTGGATTGCACCACCACCGCTTGCCCGAGCCTGCCTCTGGGTTTAGGAGTGTACCGGGAAAGCGTGGTGGACGGTCGGCGCGGGGGCCTTCAGGGGTGTGTCTTAAAGAAGATCCCGGGGCTCCCGAATTCCAGCGGAGCTGGTGGCCAGTCAAGCATCCATCCTTTCACAGGCCCTTACAAGCTCGGGAAGTGCTGTCTCACCTAATTGTACTTCTTCTGTCCTTGTTGTTCTCTGCCTTCCTGCTTTGTTTCTTGGGCTCTTGTCAGTCCTGTCCGACTGCCCTGAGCCTTTGCAGTTTGCTGAATCGCTTGCCCTGGGGCAGTTGAGAGTGTGGGCATGGTGTCTCCCATCCATTGGTTTCAGGATTTGTCAAGCTGGGCTGATGCAGAGGGCCCTGCCTCTTGAGCAGCAGTGCCAAATCCTGAAGGTCCTGACCAGAGAGGAAGAGCCATGGGTTTGTTTTTAGGTGGGGGGGCTCACACTTAAGGCCCTTACACCAGCTAGGCCCTTTGACTAGTATTTGACATTCCAGGGGTTATTTTCCTGCTCGGGCAGGTGGCCAGATTGTTTTTCTAGTAGTACTGTCGCCTCCTGGCACCAGACTCCCAGGAGGCTAATGCAGGAGTGCAGGTTGGGTTGGGCTTTTATAGTGGATTAGTGTTTTCCTGGGATATTAACTTGTGCTTCAGAGGATTGGCTCAGTCCCACTGGCTACTCCACCAACTCCACCTCATGCACACAGTGACTAGCTGGAGAGATAGGGCCCTTCTTTCTCTTCCATCCCCTTTATCAGGCTGCTGTGCCTTCCTGCAGTACATTGACCGACGTTGACCGAAGTGGAACTTGTATTGCATAAAATGTGGAGATCTGCAAGACACGGTGAGCTTGTGTCACAGAGGTCCATCTGCCGGAAGTGGTGTGGAAAGCCTGCACTTAGACTAATGGCAGGGCCTGGGCACACTTGTGCCCCTGCAGGCGTCCTGCATTGTCAAGTTTGGTGATAGCAGTGTCCAGGGCTCTTTAGGTTAAGATATGCACAGAACCAGGAGTACTTGTGGTCAGAGCATCACCTTACTGACCCAGGGTGAACTTGGTGGGACTGAGAACACTTTGGTTTCCTTAGGGAGACTCTTGGGGGTTTGGAATCTCCAAAGCCGCTGGTTCTCAGGATTCAGCACTGGGTAAGTTTGCTGCTGTCTTTGAAAGATTTGTGGTAGTTGGAAGCTTTGGATTTCTAGTTGCTTTGTGAATAGGTGAATATTAACTTTTCTCATTTGTGAGAAGTGCCTGGTGTATTTCCAGTTTCTTGTTCTTGGCCTACACTTGTCTGGTTCCTCTGATCAGGTGGCAGGTGGGTCCCCACCTGGTAAAGGGCATGCTTTTTTAGGGTGACTCAGATCTCCTCCTTGATCACAGCTGGATCACTTACCTGCCTTGAAGGCAGGTCTAGCTTGTTCCTGAGACAGGTATGCAAGTAAGTTTGGGCTCCAGCTTCACAAACACTTGTGTCATCAGAATGGCCTCTTGGAGCAGTGGCAGTGTGATGCTTTGTCTAGGTGCCCACTCTTTTAGGGCCTTGGTTTTGGATCTCTGTGAAGCTTTGGTTTCTCCTAGTATGCAGCAGTGGCTTTAGGGGAATGGTCCTATTCTCTTTGGGACAGAACAGGATACTGAGTAGATATTCTCCCCGGGTAGCCACAGGGGAATTATGCTCTTGAGCAAAAGCCTCACTGCTTCTTGGGAGGGTGTGCTGTGAGCAGCTTCTACTCACTGGCCGTATTCAGCTTCTACTCGCTACCACACAAGCCTGTCCTTGTTCATCTTCAGTTAAACTAGTTACATCTTCCTATCTGGGTTCCTACAAAACTTCCCTGAGTGGGTCTCTGGGAAAGTCTGATGTAATTTGTATGCCACAGCCTAGGAGATTTGTGTGGGTTAATGAGATGAGTCCACGGGTATAACTTGATTTCTCCCCCTCTTCCTTTGGGAGTCAGTATTGGTGAAAGCTTCTGAGTGATGCCCTGTCCATTGAGCCCAGGGATTTGGGAGGGGGTCAGGGGATTGTGGACACTGCAAGGCTGACATGGAGGTTTGCTACGAATGTTGGGACCTCCTGGTTGTAGAAGTGTATGCGGGACCAGATGATGCTGTGCTCCCAAAGTGAGGACACTGTGTGCCTGTGTCCTGTGCAAGTTGTGATCTCCCTGCTGAAGCCAGTGCCAGAATGCCATATCAATGCCCCAGAGGCCAGTCCAGATATTGCTTTGCTCCCATCCATGTCTTTCTTCTCTTATTTGGAGTTTTTTTTCTCTCTTAACTGCAGATTCAAGGGGAAGCCTGAAGTGCTTCTCTGAGCTCTGTTTCCCTAAATCAGAAAATGTCTTCAGGTCAAGTATCCCGTGTTCTCATCTGTTGCCTTGCTTCTATGCTAGCACCAGGTTTTCATTTGGGAATGCTAACTCAGTGTGTTTTTAAGTGAATAGACAGCCTGTGCGCAGCTTCCCTGGACTGTTGCTTGGTGCTAGTCACACGGTCACCATAGCAACCCCTCATGGTTTGTTCTTTCTTCTGTACTTGGCCGGGGGCTCGGGTCTGGGTTTCCTGGATTGATTTGTCAGGGTCCTCTGTTATAAACCAAGTTTTCTAGTAGGGCTTTGGCCCCAGGAGGAACAGGAGCAATCACCATGGTAACAGCTAATGCCTCCAATATGTAATGTGTCCCCAGAACACTGCTGAGCGTTTCTCTCTATTCCTCATTTAATCTTTAACACCACCCTGTAAGAGAGGCACTGTTTTCCCCATTTTACAGATGAGGAACTGAGGCTCAGAGTCAGAGAGACTGCTGCTGTCAAGAGCAGTGTGGTCAGGGCCGGAGTTGTGGCTCAGTGATAGAGTTCTTGGCCTAGCATGTGTGAGGCGCTGACTTTGATCCTCAGTACCACATTAAAAAAAAAGAAAAGAAAAGAAAAAGAAACAAGGACTGGGGATGTGGCTCAAGTGGTAGTGCGCTCTCCTGGCATGCGGGCGGCCCAGGTTCGATCCTCAGCACCACATACAAACCAAGATGTTGTGTCCACCAAAAACTAAAAAAATAAATATTAAAAAATTCTCTCTCTTTAAAAAAAATAAACAAAATAAAGATATTTGTCTATGTATAACTAAAAAAATTAAAAAGAAAAAAAGAAAAAGAAACAAAATAAAGTTAAAAAAAAAAAAAAAAAGAGCAGTATGGTCACTGTGTTTGTGGGTCCAGCCTTCTCATTTGGAGGGAAGCAGGCAAACCTTACAGTGAAGTAGCAGGGGATTATAGCTCTTCTCCCCTTGCCCCCATTTTCATTTCTACTCTAGGGCTTCCTGGTTGCTGCATGCCTACTGCTTCTGTACACTGCTTGAGACCTTGAGAAGTTGATCTCAGAGGACTTTCCTCAGCTCCTGCCTGACCCCTGCCAGCATCTGGAAACCCACATCATTGTTTGGAGTTGGAACTTTTTTTTTTTTTTTTTTGCCATGCTGGGGATAGAACCCAGGGCCTTGCCCATGTGAGGCCAGTGCTTTCCCACTAGCTCTGCCCCTAGCCCAGGAGTTGACACTTATTTTTGTGTGTGTGTGTGGGGGTGCTAGGGATTGAACATAGTGGCACTTTAGCACTGAGCTACATACACCCCAGGTTTTTTTTTTTTTTTTTTTTATTTTGAAACAGGGTCTCAGTAAGTTGCTGAGCCTGGTCTCAAACTTGTGATCCTCCTTAGCTTTCCAAATTGCTGCAGTTAACAGGTGTGTGATACCACACCTGGCTAATTGGCACCACCTTTTTTTTTTTTTTTTGGTACCAGGGATTGAACCCAAGGGTACTGAGCCACATCCCCAGCCCCTTTTTTATATTTTGAGATAGGGTCTCTCTGAGTTGCTTAGGGCCAGCTGAGGCTGGCTTTGAACTTGCCTGTCCTTCTGCTTTTGCCTCCCAAACCCCTAGAATTATAGGAGTGTAGCACCGAGCCTGGCATAATTATTGGCACTTTTTGATGGACCATTACAACTCTTCTCAAGGCAGGTTTGGCCCTTCAGGTGCTGCCCTTCCTTCCAGCTCTGTGACATATGCTGTTCTCCCCAGAATCCACCGGGCCTGAGAGCAGCAAGGAAGGGACCCTTTAAGATAGGATGCAATAGGCTGGGGGAGGTACAGCATGCTTAGATGTGATGGGAATCTACAGAGGTATGCGTATGAACCAGCAGAGGGTCATGCATAGCTTCCTAGAGGAGAGGGCATCTGAAATGAGTCCTAGGGTTTCTCCTTTTTTCTCTCTCTCTCTCTCTCTCTTTTTTTTTTTTTTTTTTTTGGTACCGGGAATTGAACTCAGGGTCACTCAACCACTGAGCCACATCCCCAGCCCTATTTTATTTAGAGGCAGGGTCTCCCTGAGTTGCTTAGCACCTTGCCGTTGCTGAGGCTGGCTTTGAACTCCTGATCCTCCTGTCTCAGCCTCCTGAGCTGCTGGGATTACAGGTTTGTGCCACCATACCCGGCCCTCCTTTTACCTCTTTACCATTACCTGGTCCCACCTGCCCTCAAGAGAACAGATTTCCATGTCTGTGCTAACTGTTCCATGTTTTATGCTAACTGTGCTGCTTTGTAAATAAGATAGTCCTCAAACATGGAAGCTGCTGAAGTTAACCAAGGTGCACAGGTCCTCCCTAAGCTCCCCAAGTAGGAAAGCCACTTCTTGTCAGCCATGATTAGGGGAAGGTGGGCAAGGACAGCTTGCTTGAAGGGCTTGGGGGAGAGGACCAGTTCTGGCCCCAGGCAGTGTAGCTGGGGGCCAGTGAGAGTTCTTAAATGAAAACCAAGTTTCCTTTTTCCTTCTGCTTTTCCTTTTCAATTAGAATACCGAATTGTGTTTTCCTGGGTCTTTAGCATTGTCATGAATTCTTTCAGATGACAGAGCAAATGCTTAAGTGGCAGGTATATAGCAAGTAGAGCTAGCTGTCGTGCAGTTGGAATTTTTGTGTTGTATATACATACTGGCATCTTTTTCTTCAGTGTGATTGTGTTTTGGATAATGAACTAAATTTAACACCATTTCAGGAAGGAAACCACATCAGGGAGCCGAGAAGTTGGTGGGAAGGACACAAAAGGAGAGAGACGGTTCTTAGAGGGTCCTTTTGCCTCCTATTCTGTTTAAAGATTGTAGCTGGAAAGGTGTGAAATTGCTGATTCCAGAAAAACTGCTGCTTACCTGGGTCTGAATCCTGTGGTAACTGCATGTGGAACAGGAAGGAGATAGAGCTGCACCCAGACCCTTCTCATGGGCAGCATCCAGGATAGACACTAGGCCACATGGGTATGGGGGGCCCATGGGCTACATTGGCCGGGATGTTGTCCTATATCATCTAAGAACACAAGGAAATGTCGTCGGCATCCAAATCCTAACTGGGAAAAAACTGCAGAAAGAATGCAAGAAGAGCAGGATGTGGTGGCCAGGCCTCTGATCCCAGCACCTCTAGAGGCTGAGGCAGAAGGAGGATCCCAAGTTTGAGTTCATTCATGGCAGCCAGGAAGCAGAGAGAGAAAGGGGAGGGGGCCACGGGGAAGATGAATCCTTCCAGGAAGTGCCCCCAGTGACCCACTTCCTTCAGTCTTGCCATGCCTGTCTATAGTTAACATTCAGGTAGTTCATTTAAACAAGAATGAACTGATTATGTTACAGCCCTCACAATCCGATCATTGAACACTCCTGTATTAACATAGGAGCTATCCAGACTATACCCAAACCATAACAGGCTGCCAAGGTTCTCTGCTGGGGTCCAGAAAATCGCTGTTGCAGGAGAGGGGAGTGTGGCCAAAGGAGCCTTGATCACTGCTGAGGCTACATGCTCTACTCCATTTTTGCTCTGAGAGGTGGCTGTTCATCAGGCCTGGCCCAGGTATGTTGCCCATGCCTTTGAAGCATCCTTCAGGCTGAGGTCTGTCACACCACTGTGGCAGGGCCTGCAAGACCAATGAGCAGAAGAGAAGAGAGGGCAGGCTGCAGCCCTGCAGACAGACCTGTCTTTAGTCCTGGGGCTCTAGAGTGTTTCCTGCCTACCTGGTCCTGCCCTGGTGGGGTTGGTGGATGCTCAGTGGTATTCCTTCACCTCCTCAGCTATGAAATAGTGGCTTCCTGTTGCTGGCTTGTCTCCCCCCTATGCTGCTATAAGTCAGAAACATCTTTGGATGTTAAGTGTCATACTGATGCAAGGTTTTGTTCCTTTACAGCCCCCCTGAATGTGGGGCACCTTCAGGCAGCCTTGGGCCTTTACTGTCATCTGCGTCCCTGAGCATGACCCTGCTTCTCTTGGTGGAGAGAGGTATTATTACATTAACAATCTTTCCCCTCCCACCACAATGCTGGGGAGTGAACTGATGGCCTTGTGCTTGTTGGGCCAGCACTGTATCACTGATCTATATTCTAGTCCCATCAACTTCTTAAATGACTTTTATTAAACATGGATTATTATTATTGGTACCAGAGATTGAACCCAGCCACATTGATTGAACTAAGCCACATCCCCAGCCCTTTTTAATTTTATATAGAGACAGGGTTCTCGCTAAGTTGATTAGGGCCTCATTAAGTTGCTAAGGCTGGCTTCAAACTCACGATCCTCCTGCTTCGGCCTCCAGAGCTGCTGGGATTATTGGTGTGCGCCACCGTACCCAGTTTAAGAAATTGTTTATTTGCTTATTTTTGGTGGTGCTTATTATTGAACCCCGGGCATTGTGCATGCAAGGCAAGCACTGTACCAACTAAGCTTTTTCCCCAGCCCCACAAGAAATTATTATATTGAATTTTTGGAAGAATTCTGGTGCTTCAGTGTGGCACAGACAGTTAAACACATAACTCATAATAATCAGCAAGTGAATAAAGCCAAGGTTATTGTCTGTGGGAACAGAAGGGTTTGAATTCCCCAGCCCTTTTTATCTTTTATTAAAAACAGTGTGGCAATTTCTTAAAAATGGCCCAGCAGAGCTGGGGCTGAAGCTCATGGACAGAGCACTTGCCTAGCATGTGTGAGGCACTGGGTTTGATCCTTAGCACCACATAAAAATAAAACAAATGAAATAAAGACATGCTGTCCATCTACAACTACAAAAAAAAAAAAAAAAAAAAAAAAAAAAAAAACAGCAAACCAGATGAGGTGGTATACCCCTGTAACCCCAGTGACTCAGGAAACCAGTGCAGGAGGACTGCACATTTGAGGGCATCTTCAGCAACTTAACAAGACCTTCAGCGACTTGGCAAGATCTTTCCTCAAACAAACAAACAAATATAAAAATGAAAAGCACTGGGAATCCTCAGTATAAAAAAAAAGAAGAAGAAGAAGAAAAGAAAAAATGTGGCTCTCTCTCACTCTGTTTTCTCATCAGCAATGCATGAGAGTTCCAGTCACTAACTTTATGGCCAACATTTGATGCCATCAAACTCTTATCAGTTAACTTCATTGAGGTATAATTTATGTACAAAATACCTATTTGCATTTAAAGTTTGGAATTCGATGAGTGTTGACATTTTTGAACATCTGGAAGTGTACAAAGAACTTTACACATAGTCCTCATGTAGACCACCCCTGTCCACTCTGGAACTGGGCATCTGCTGGTCTTTGTGTCACTGTAGATTTGCTTCATTTTCTAGATCTTGTGTATAATGGAGTCACACATGAACCTCTATGGCCTCATCCGACATTTCCTGGGAGAGGGTTGCACCTTGTCATGGTTAGTGTCCTCCCTTCTCTGTGCTTTGTGGCCCATGTGTGTAGACCGTGGTGCCTAGGTCTGTTCTAAAGATGGGCTTTTAAGTGGCTTCTGTTTTGGGGTTGTTCTGAAGAGTGCATTTGTAGAAATTCTAACGCTTTTGGCAAAGTGTCTCTGCATTTCAGTGAGGGATTTGCCCAGGAGTGGATGTACTGGTTGTAGGTAGGGCATGTATATGCTCAGCCTCAGAAGACACCAACGGTTTTCCAAGCAGTTGAACAGTTTTTCCTCCAGCAGGATCCCTTGCCCTTTTCTTTCATTTCAGCCAGGCTGGTGCTGGGATACCTGTTTCTTTGTAACACCCATAGAACAATTCCAACCTCTAGAACCACCTTTTGCTACTTAACTGTTTCCCAGTGGACTTATTTTTAGTTTGTATCCAACCCTATATAATAAAACAATGTTGCAGTAAATAGCCTTCTGTAATGTTTACACCATTCTGCTTCTTTACTCTTGCTGCTCTACAGTGTTACCTTATGATGCTGGAGGTTGTAAATCTGACCCTAGCTTCTCTGAGCTAAAATCCAGGTACAAGGTGTTGGCAGGTGCATTGCTTTCTGCAGGATCTGTAGGAGAGTCTGATTGTTTGTTCTTTGGGTTGTTAGCAGAATTGAGTTCTCTGCAGTTACAGAACTGGGATCCTTGTGTCTTTACTGGCTATAGACTGGGCCTGAGCTTTTAGAGGTCACCTGTGACTGCTTCCTCCATCTTCAGGGCTGGCAGCAGTGGGTCACATCCCTCTGATGCTTCTGATTTTTCCTTCTCCCTCTGTCTCATCTAACTAACTTAGATGAGGCTTTTAAGGAGTTACATAAATAAATCAGGTCCACCCAGAGAATCCAGGAGAATATTCCATCTCAAGGGCCAGATCTTCACTTTGCCCTGTGAACTAACCTGTTTTAATCAATTTTTTTCTTTTCTTTTTTTGATACTGTAGATTGACTCCAGGGTTACTTTACCACTGATCTATATCCCCAGCCCTCCTTTTTGAGACAGGGTCTTATCAAGTTGCCCAGACTGGCCTCGAATTTGCAATCCTCCTGCCTCAGCCTCCTGAGTAGCTGAAGTTATAGGCATGAGTCACCCTATTCTAATCTATTTCTTTATTAAAATCATTTTACAAACTTAAATTTACAGCAATAAACCACTATTCATCAATACCCACGAAAAAGGAATGCAAATATTTAAGAATACTTGCTTCTGAGCTGGGATTGTGGCTCAGCGGTAGAGTGCTCCCCTGGATGGGCGGGACCTGGATTTGATCCTCAGCACCACATAAAAATAAAAAGGCATTGTGTTGTGTCCATCTACACCTAAAAAATAAATATTAAAAAAAAAAAAAAAGAATACTTGCTTCTTAGCTGGGCTAAGTGGCACATGCCTGTAATCCCAGTGCCTTGGAAGGCTGAGGTAGGAGGATCACGAGTTCAAAGACAGTCTCAGCAAAAGTGAGGCACTAAGCAACTTAATGAGACCCTGTCTCTAAATAAAATACAAAATATGGGTTGCTCAGTGGTCAAGTGCCCCTGAGTTTGGGGGTACCAATCCCTGATAAGGCCCCATCCCCCCAAAAAAGAATACTTGCTTCTTGTCAGGCATGGTGGCATACGCCTATAATCCCAGCAATTTGGGAGGCTGAGACAGGAAGATTACAAATTTGAGACCAGCTTTAGTAACTTAGCAAGACTATGTCTCAAATTGAAAAATTTAAAAAAGGGCTGGGGATATAGCTCAGTGAAAGAGCACTTAACGCAGCAATTTGAGAGGCTGAGGCAGGAGGATTACAAGTTCATAGCCAGCCTAAGCAACTCAATGAGATCTTGTCTCTAAATAAAATATAAAAAAGGGCTGGGGATGTGGCTGAATGGTTGAGTGTCCCAGGGTTCAATCCTGGTACCAAAAAAGACTACTTGCCTAGCATGCACAAGGCCCTAGTTTCAATCCACAGTACCAAGGCGAGGGGGGGGGGGGGCGAATACTTGCTTCTCTGTGCATGTAATGGCACAAGTAGGATGTCCCCACTGTGCTCCTGACAACATGATGCTGTCTGAAGCAGTAGGATTCAGGAGCACAGTGACCTGGTGCATGGGCTTTAAGAATTCCTAAAGTTGTATCATTTTCTCAGCCATAGTGCCAGGCTCCAGAGCATGCTCTTTGCCTGGTTTTCACATGGGGCAGTCCATGGCATCAATTCCCCCTAGACTTCTAGAGCCCACTGTGTTCACTGTTGTCAGGGCCCAGTTCATCCATTCCATTTCTGAAATTACTGCTCAGTCTGGGTCAAACATTGCATCATCGAGGTAGAACACTGTTTTGATCATCTTTTTCGTCACTGTGATCAAAAGACCCAACAAGAACAATTAGAGGAAGAAAAGCTTATTTGGCTTACAGTTTCAGAGGTCTCAGTCTGTAGACAGCCAACTCCATAGATCTGGGCCCAAGGTGAGGCAGAACCTCTTGGCAGACGACTATCGTGGAGAAAAGCGGCTCAGAACATGGCAGTCAGGAAGTAGAGAGAGCTCCACTCACCAGGGACAGAATATAAACCCAAAAGTCATGCCCCCAGTGACCCACCTCCTCATGCCACACCCCACCTGCCTATAGTTACCACCCAGATAATCCTTCAGTGGATTAATGCAGTGATTATGCTACAACTCATAATCTAATCACCGCCTCTCTGAAAATTCTTGCACTGTCATATCACACATGAGCTTTGGGGGGACACCTCATATCTAAACCATAGCAAACACAAAAGGGTCTCTCAATTCCTGCACCAAAAACACCATGGTCAGCTGGAAATCCTTAGTGGCAGAAGCGACAACCAATTATCTCTGCTTGGAGTGGGCCTGCACCTCTCCCACTGGGCCTCTACAGCACCAGTGTGACTGACAATGTTGGGACCAGTCACCAGAAAGGCACACTCTGATCACCTCTTGCAGGACTTCCTTGTAAGTTTCTTTTTCTTGTTGTTGTTGTTGTTTTTAAATATAGATTTTTGTAGTATGGGTCAGAAGAGAGTATGTGTACTTTCTGCTAGGTATTATGTGGTCTGGTTGCATTTTGCTGCAGCTTGTTGGTTAGCTTACAGTTTCTATGGGTCAGGCTTGCTTAGGTCCTCACAGAGTCTCAGGGCCTCCCATAGGTGCTAATTGAGGTGTTAGCCAGGGCTGGAGCTCGTCTGAGGATCGACTAGAGAAGGTTGCCTTCTAAGCTTAGCTCCTAGTGAGCTGTCAGCCACCCTCAGTTCCTGGCATCTTCATGGGGTGCCTTACTTCACAAAACCAGTCAGTCAGAATCCAGTCTCATGAAACAGTCTTGGAAGGAACATGCATCCATATTCTGTTGATCAGAAGCAAGCCTCAGGTCCTACTCACCCTCCAGGGGATGAGTCCCAGAAGCCAGCCCTGGGCCCACCTGTAGGCTGGCTCCTGCCTCTGTGCCCTCAGCAAGCTACACCAAGTTTCAGCTCTTGGAGCTCCTGCAGGCTCCTCTTTTTTTTCTACGCATGTGGTTCTTTTCTTCTGAGGAGGTCAGAATTCTCCCTGTGCAGGTGTGGACA